GCTGTCGCAGGTGACTCACGGCAGCCCAGCTCCAGGTTGAGCCGTTGTTCAGCATCTTAGCTGTAGAGGACAGCGTCACTGGCCCTCATATGTGGGATCTGAACCAGGGCCCTCTGGCGTCCCAAGCCAGCTCTTAACCAACGCGCCACTCAGCTGGCCTTGGGATGGGGTTTCTTTTTGGGGTGATGAGAATGTTCTGGAAATAGATGGTGGTGATAGTTGCAGAACCCTGTGGATATCCTAAAAATCATTAAATTATACACTTTAAGTGAGTAAATTGTATGTGAATTATATCTCAAGAGAGTTGTTACTTAAGACAGAGAAATTCTACGTACTGCACTTCAGGGAGTTGTCCAATGTCCAAACTCCTTTGCTCTCTAGGAATTTAGTTATATTAACTTGGTTTGACTCAGAAATTGACTGAAAAAGGCCAGACGGTAAATATTTTAAGCTTTATGGGCCACGGTCTGTCACAATACTTGGGTGTTCTTACAACCCTTTAAAAAAGTAAAAAACGAGGCCGGCCGAGTGGCGCGTTGGTTAAGAGCTGGCTTGGGACGCCAGCTCTGTGCAGTAGGCCCCGGTTCGGATCCCACATATGAGGGCCAGTGACGCTGCCCTCTACAGCTAAGATGGTGAACAACAGCTCGACCTGGAGCTGGGCTGCCATGAGGCGACGGCGACGCCATAGGCTGCAGCCCCTGCTGCAGTGGGTTGCCATGGGCTACCGTGAGTAGCCAGCAGCCAGCGTGAGCGGCTGGCAGCTGGTGTGAGCTGCCAAGAGCCGCTGTGAGTGGCTGTCCGATGGCCGGCGACCGATCTGCCTCAGCCGGGAAGAATGCAAGATAATACCAACATGGGCCAGTGAAGCGACATCCTCCACAACTAGACTGAAGAACAAAAGGACAGGAACTTGTCTGTTCCCCTTCCCCTGATTCCCCAGTGCTGTTCCCCTCCCCCAATTCCCCAATAAAATCTTTAAATACATAAAAATGTAAAAAACAGGGCCAGCCAAGTGGTGCGCTGGTTAAGAGCTGGCTTGGGACGCCGGCTCTGAGCAGCAGGGCCCCAGTTCGGATCCCACGTGAGGGCCAGTGACACTGCCCTCTACAGCTAAAATGGTGAATAACAGCTCGACCTGGAGCTGGGCTGCCGTGAGTCACCGGTGACGGTGTAGGCTGCAGCCCCTGCTGCAGTGGGCTGCCATAAGCTACTGTATGTGGCCAGCAGCAAGTGTGAGTGGCCGACAGCCAATGTGAGCTGCCAAGAGCCGCCATGAGTGGCCGTCCAGAGGCCAGCGACCAATCTGCCTCACCCAGGAAGAGCGCATGATGATACCAACACGGGGCAGTGAAGAAATGTCCTCCACAACTAGACTGAAGAACAAAAGGACAACAACTTGTCTGTTCCCCTCCCCCGATTCCCCAATAAAACCTTTAAAAAAAAAAAAAGAAGAGATTAGGACAGATACACACAGAAGGACCACCAGGTGGGGACACAGGGAGGAGACAGCATCTGCAAGACAGGAAGACAGGCCTCAGAGGGAACCAACCCTGTCAGTACCTTGATCTTGGACTTCCAGCCTCCAGAACTGGGAGACAATAAATCTCTGTTATTTCAGCTGCCCAATCTGTGGCACTTTGCTAATGGCAGCCTGAGCAGACTAATAACAGATGCACATACAACTCCATTACGTGAAAGCTAGGGTAGAAGTCCAGACTTATCAATCCACAAATTAACTTATCTCCCGAGACTGTGGATGTGAACTTGAATTGGGAAGAAAGAATGCCCGCTCCCCGCTCCCCCTCACCGACACACACACAAGAAATGTGCTCCCAGTTCATTCAGACCCATGACTCCTAGAACAGGAAAACGTAGGCCTGCTTTACTCGAGGTCCCAGTGATTCTCCATGGCTAATTCCCCAAAGACAGTCAATAACTAGACTCGGGAAAGACAGTTCTGCTTGAAACTAAATTCCAGTTCAATCTTGCCTGTGAAACAGACAGTTTATCATGGTGGCCAACTTCACAGGCGCAGTGAACAGCTGAAATAGGATGGTGTTTGGACCATAAGGACACACTGACTTCCCAACACGCAGGGGCTTATCTTTGTTTCGACATCTAATGGGCCTGTTACCAGGATATGGGGGCAGAGCTGGCTGGCAGGCAGGTGGAAGCCAGATGCCCACCTCTGGTTCCAGCACGCTTGGGATTTGGAGCCAGCAGCGTGTGGTCCCAAGATCTGAATCCGGCTTGGCCACTTACAGGCTGTGTGGTCTTGGGTAAGCCGCCTCCCTTCTCTCAGATTGTTTCTTTATCTAAAATGAGGATAATAATGGCACCTGCCTTGTAGGTCCTTCAGTAGATAAATGGAAGTAACATAAAGACAGCCTAAAGCAACATCTACAATTTATACAAACTGCAACACAGTATAGAGCAGCGGTTCTCAACCTGTGGGTTGCGACCCCTTTGGGGGTCAAATGACCCTTTCACAGAGGTCGCCTAAGAAAACAAAAAGATATTTACATTACGATTCATAACAATAGCAAAATTATAGTTATAGAGTAGCAACAGAAATAATTTTATGGTTGGGGGTCACCACAACATGAGGAACTGTATTAAGGGGTCACGGCATTAAGAAGGTTGAGAACCGCTGGTATAGAGTGTTCTGTGCCTTTAATCCTTCACTTTATGTATTTCTGAGAATGTTCCCAACCATTACACAGAGCAGTGCTGTCCAAGGTAGCAGCCACTGGTCAGGCAGCTGTCAAGCCCATCCAAATCGAAATGTTCTGTGAGTGAACAATACACACCATATTTCAAAAGCTTCATATCAAAAAAAGGTGGTAACATGCAGCTTCCCAGGTCCCAGCGACATGACATTTCGTTGGGAGAAAGAACCTGTGGCTCATGGAGGAAACTAGCTTTCTGTGAAAAAGGACTAAAGGATTACACACCCTACACAAGTACAAATTGATAAGGAAAAGACAAGTTCTCCACATCACAGGGAGAGCCAGGGGTAGCTTTCTCCATGGGCTAGCAAGCCCACAGCAGCAGGTGTCCCAGAGTAGTCGGCCTCTGTCAACTCTCCACTCCCTATGGAAGATAGGTGGTGTGTTATCTAAGGACTAAGAGATATTTGCCAATTGCTTATTTTTTTAAGAAATCAAATTTGCAGAATTTAACTTAAAATATGTATTCTGCTTTGAAAATTTCATCCCTCCTAAGACTCTAAAAACTTGAAATGCTCGCTAAATGTCTCCATGGGATTTCTGACCAAAAGTAAGGTCATAGCTGAAGAAATTTTCAGTTAGTCATTTGTTCACTTCTGTGACAGTATACCCATTGATGAATCTTCTCTGTGATTTGGGTTTTGGGGTTTTTTTGCATTTCTTAAAACCTTTTGATCTATTTGAGGTCTTCTGTGTTATCAAACTTATTCTTAAGTTTAAAAACAAGAAATTAAAACTGTGGATTTCTTAAGATTTTAAAGTTTGCCGCCATGTTAAACATCTTCAAAGCACTTTAAAAATCTTCAAAGTGAGGGCCAGCCGAGTGGCTCAACTGGTTAAGAGCTCGCTCAAGAGCGTGAGCTCTAAGTAACAGCGGTTTGAGTCCCGGCCCGAGCTGAGCTGCCAACAGATGGCAGGATGGCTCAGCTAAAAAAAAAATCTTCAAAGTGCATAAAATCAGGCAGCTCTGCACAAACCCAGTCTTGTTGTTTTTTAATTGAGGAACAGTGTTTTTTTCCAAGACCCATCAGCTCCAAGTCGAGTAGTCATTTCAATCTAGTTGTGGAGGGTGCATCTCAGTGGCCCATGTGGAGATCGAACCGGCAACCTTGGTGTTATGAGCACTGCGCTCTAACCAACTGAGCTAACCGGATGCCCCTTGTATTCTCTCTTTAGCTAGCCAAATTGTCCTTGAATCTTGTTTTTCCACATTTTCAGAGGGTTATTTGAAATTTCTTGTTATATTTGAAAATGTTTTTTGGAAGAGCTGCTAATTTTATTTTAAAAACACAAAGTTGTAAAAATATGCCTCCTTTTCGAAAACAACCCCTCTCCAGGACATGTAATCCAGCATCGCAAAGCACAGGGTTGAGCTTGAAGGGAGTGCCTCTGTGCAGACGTGCTTTCTTTACAGTGGCTGGAAGTTGGTATTATGTATAAAATGTTGAATAAAAAAAATGGAATAAAAAAGGTGGTAACATATTTCACTAATAATTGTTACAATAATTACAAAACAAAATGATACTAGTTTGATCTATCAGGTTAAATAACATATATCAAAATTATTAAAATTGACACAGCTTTTACATTTTCAATTAAATTTCAAAAACTTTCTACTGTGGCTCACATTATACAAGTTGCCTGGCTCTTTTAATGGCTGCATAATGTTCCATCCATGGATGCAGGGATGCTGTGATGGCCTCTAAAGATGCTTCCCATCTTTATAGCAACAATCCCTGTTCCTAGGTCATTGGGTCCATGTACATATGTATTCACACTGAATTAATTCCTAGCAGTGGAATCTGTGGGTTAAAAGGAATACACATATGATATTTTGCTGATTTTTTGGCGATCCTAATACATTTTCAACAATAAAGTATGAGATTTGGGATGGGGGGGGGGTTGCTACATTCACTACCACTCTAAATGGGAAATTCCTAAAGCAGAGGCTTCAGAATCCCAAATGAGCCTGAAACACTGTAGGCAAAGGCCTACAGCAAGGCTCAGTTATTTACATTCCCTTCTGGTGACATCATGGGGCCAGCCAGCAGCAAACTCACCAAATAAGGTTTGAGGCTCCACCAAAAAAAAAAAAAAAAGGATACTGTCTGGCTGGTCTGGGGTGTTGGGGGAGTCAGCTCGCAGGGGAGGCTATACGGCCCAGCCAGGCAGGAAATCAGCAGCCGGGCTGGCACAGACAGCCTCCCCTCTCTCCCATAAGAATGCTACACAATTGGCAGGGGCCCAGATGGGAGGCCTTCTCTGGAAAGGTCAAAAGCTGAAAAGACTCAAGTACTTCCCCTAAGAGAGGATTAAGAGAGGGACAGGCCTTTACAAACAAAACCTGCTAATACCTACTGCTCTCACGCCATATGCCAGGCACTTTGTTAGGTACCATATGTGCTCAATTATGTTTCTCCCCAAAGGAAAATGCAAAAAGGATGTCAGAGTAAAAACTCTCGGTCAAGGTGTCTGATTCCAAAGCCCAAATTCGTTCCATCAGCACCTGACCCTGACTCATTCCTTCCTGAAAAGCAGGATAAAGGACAGGAGAGGAGATATTATCCAGAAAACCCCTCAGTGCATCTCCCACCCAAGAGCCTTGTGAAAGGGGTCACTCACCTGCCCAGCTCCTCCCCCATCTCATAGTGGTCTTCCACATCTTCCTGCCTGAATGTGGACATGGTGGCCAGTCTGCCTTCCAGCACCTTCCGCTCCAGTGAAAGCCCAGTCACTGAAGCCTGGGGACAGGACCTCGGGAAGTCCCCTAGCTGTGATCCTAAAGGAGGCAAGGAAATAAGGAAGGAGTGAGATGTCGGCCATTACTCATAGTAAACAGAGCAACCTGCTCACCAAAAATAGGTTTCACATCACTCCATGCTGAAGTTCCATGCTCCCTGGGAAGGGCACTTGCATATGGCAGGCCAGGTACTTTCATGTGTCATCTCACTTGAACATCAAACCAACCAAAATGTCGCCGTTAGCCCCATGGTGCCACCTTGCCCCCGTAATTCCCACCAGGCACATATCTCTGGGTCCTCACATACTGCTCCAGCTTTTCCCTGCTTCTTCCCTCCTAGGCTTCTCCCATGTGCTCATCCAGTGCCCCCACACATTTCTGCAAGTTCCTCCACACTCTTCACACCCCCAATCCCCAGAACTCCCTCATTCCCTACCCGACTTCCTAGTTCTGGTCCCAACACACTCCCATCTCCCTGCCCATCAGCAACCTCAAGTCCTCTTCATCCTTACACACTCCACTTACCCCACACACACCTCAGCCGTCTCTTATGACCCTCCTCAGCGGTATGCTCCCCCAATACTGAATTCTCCAGGAACTGGACAATGGCTTCCAAGCTCCTGCAAGCTTCCTACCCATCCTGGCCTACCCTTGACTTCCACCGTCCTAGCAAGTCTAACTTCTTCCTCCTCTCTCCTCAAAGGCACCCCTAAAGGTAAAGGCCCCTACCTCCATCTCCCTCACTCCAAACGGGCTCCCACAAAGGGCCATATCTGAGAGTCTCTTTCATTGTCCTTCGCCTCCAACTCCATGGCAGACCCGGAAATACCCTTCACAAACCCTTCCAAGGGTCCCCAACCTGTAACGTCTCTGCTTACGCGCCCCCGAGGCCGCCACGACCCTCACAGGCCGCGGCTCAGACCCTTCTCCGGCTCGGTCATCCCAGGAGTCTTCAAACGTCCCCCAGGTCCCCCAAGGGTCCCCAAACACAAACTCATCAGCCTCAAATAAAGCCCGCTCCTCACCCTCCACAGCCCCGCGCCCCCAGCCGACCACTCCACCGGCCAGGCCGCCGCTACGCGCTGACCTGCGCCAACGTCACCGCGTCCGCCAGTACCTTCCCTGGGAGGCGGAACCCCATTGGTCAGTGCGCCCGCCGCTCTTAACGCCCCGCCCCCCGCTTCCTGCTAAGCCTAGGTCCGTTCGGCCCTCGGCACACTAATGCCGCATCGCCATTGGCCTACAGGCTCGCCTTTATGCAGCTGATTGACTATAATGGACGCCGGTCAAGCTTACGGAAGTCAGAAGTTCGACTTCCGGCCCCTGGGTCGCCCCGCCCGCTCTTCTCTGACCTGGGTCCTGAAGCTGGAGGGTGCATGCTGAAGTCCTGCATCCCTGTTCCTGCCTTTCTTAGTCACAAGAGATGTGAATCCAAGGCCCAGCTCCGGCATGGCAGCCCCTGGGGTGGACCCCGGGTTGCTTTAGTCCCTGAGTAGCAGTAAAATGTTACCCACATTCCAAATACATAATTAAAAATGCATATGAGGAGTGCAATCAGGTGTTGCCTTTCCCGCTTGAGGATCCTTCTGTGACGCCTGTCTCAAGATACAGAACAAAACAAAACAAAACAAAACAAACCAGCATTTACTGATCCTTAGTATGTAGCAATCTGCAACCTTAAATTATATTACTATTTCCCCGTTCTACTATTTCCCCCCATCTACAGAAGGGGAAATTGAGACACACGTTAAGTAACCCACCCAAAATAACACAGCCAGTAAACGACGTAGTTGATTACCAGATAGGCCTGAACCCAAACCAATGCTTAACCACCTCAGATGCCATCAGACACTAGACTGTGTCTTTTGGCCTTTGCTGACCATCCTAACATCTTGCCATTCTCCCCTTGTTCACTCCACTTCAACCCCACTTGCCTTCCTTCTGACTTCAAACATTTCATTCCTACCCCAGGTGTTGGCACAAGCTGTTTCTTCTGTCTGACGATCACCTTCCTCCACTCTTGTCTAAGAACTATGCACACTTCAGTTCACAGCTAAAGCAGCACCTTCTACCATACCCAGTTTCACCCTATTCTTTTTTTTTTTTAAGATTTTTATTGGGGAATTGGGGGAAGGGGAACAGACAAGTTGCTGTCTTCTAGTTCTTCAGTCTAGTTGTGGAGGGCGTTGCTTCACTGGCCCAAGTTGGCACCATCATTGCGCTCTTCCCAGGCGAGGCAGATCAGTTGCCGGCTTCTGGATGGCCGCTCACTGCGGCTGCTGGTAACTCACGCTGGCTGCTGGTTATACACGGTAGCCCATGGCAACCGACTACAGCAGGGGCTGCAGCCTACGCCGTTGCCAGTGACTCACCGCAGCCCAGCTCCAGGCTGAGCCGTCATTCAACATCTTAGCTGTAGAGGGCAGTGTCACAGGCCCTCATATGTGGGATCCGAACCGGGGCCCTCTGGTGTCCCAAGCCAGCTCTCAACCATCGTGCCACTCTTTGGAATTATTTATGCACAGCCCACATTTAATGAAGAGTTGGATCATCATTTTTACTTCAAAAAACCTGACAAACTATAATAATTCAGACCTGTTTGACAGGCATTTTCTCAAAAATGAATAAATTGAAACTATCAACTCAAGGATAACAATTGACAGTAATGGTTGCCAATGGTAAAATTTCAATCAACAAATTTTCAAAAACTGCTTGAGTTTCCCAATACTTCCATACTTTCCTGATGAAGTTGATATTGACAAATGTGGTTTTTCAAGTGTTTAATGGAATGTTGTCAACATCTCAAAAAGCTGCAAATTTGGTTTACCAATATCCACCACTTGATGTTACAAAATCATGGATGGGGAAAAGACCCATTCAAAGTGCAAGACAGACCAATGAATGTTAATGTAACAGTATGAAAAGCTCATTTATATGATTTAGATAATAGGAATACATTGTAATTTCAATTTAAGAAACCACCACTTGTTGAGTTTTGGTGTTGTATCAAAGAATAGCCACTATTACCTGAAAGAAGGTATTAAAATGCTTCTCTCTTCCAAGTTTCGGATGAGGATAGGTTCTCCATATAATTCAATCAAAACCATGTATTGAAACATTTAATACAGAAGCAGACATGAGACCCCAACTGTCTTCTATTAAGCCAGAGATTGCAAAGACTTGCAAAAATGTAGAACGCCCCTCTGTTTTGTTTGGGGAAAAGGAATTTTCCCAAAAAAACCCAGGTATTCATGTTTACATGTACTGGATTTATTATTTTAAAATCAACTATTTTTTAATTTCTCAATTTTTATTTTTAAATATGGCATGTCAATAGATACACCCATTTAAACTCGGGGGTTCTCAATGTTTGAGTGTACAGTGGTCCTGACACCAAAAAAAATGAGAAAAACAACACAAAATCAACAAAATATAGGTAGAGAGCAATCCACATATGTATAAACATACACATATTTGTAACATACTAATAATGCTCAGCTCTCATTACACAAGAAAACATAATGAAGGTATCAGTCAGCCCCTATAAATGCAATCACTGTGAATGTGACTATAAAAGCACATTAAGGCCAGCCGAGTGGCTCAGTTGGTTAAGAGCTAGCTCAAGTTTGAGCTGTGAGCAACAGCGGTTCAATGCCCGGCCCGAGCTGAGCTGCCACTAAGCTGCCAATAGGTAGCAGGATGGCTCAGCTTAAAAAAAAAAAAAAAAAAGCACATTAAGGGGCTGTATTAGCAAGTGGCTTGCTAATACAATTTAGAATTGGTGAAAAATACTTGAAGTTAAACCAAATACAGTTCAATTTTCTCTCAATTTATATACTCATCCCTGGCAAAATTACTTATTAAAAATGTGCAAAATGAAATGCAATGTGTTATCCTGGATTGGATCCTGAGAAAAGGACATTAGTGGAAAACCAAATAAACTTAACAGTAATTAAGTTTCTGAGGTTTGACAAACGTATGTAGGATATCATCTTTTTTGCAACTTTTCTGCATGAAATTTAAGTGTTTTATTAAGAAGTGTCAGGCAATGCAGATGACAAAAATTAACCAATATGAAACATTTGGTGTGACTTTTGGAAGGTGCTAGGGGTCTGGGGAGGCTGCACAGGACAATTCTTGGATGGGTCAGGGTTCCATGCATTTGGGACATCCAACAGCCCTGGTTCCTTCCTTTAAATGCCGATGGAGTCTCTCCTGTTTAACAATCCAAAATCACCCCCCCCACCCCCCCACAGGGGTACTGTCATTGTTTCCCCTGTCTCAGCAATGCATTTGTGGTGCTTATCAAAGATCAAGATTAGAAAAGATCTTGGTCCCACATTATTTGGTACAGAAATGCTTTCAGGTTAAAATCTATCAAGTACATTTTTTTTAATAACCAATCCAGTTGGGAAAGAGAAGTTGTGTGGTTATTTGTGGTTTTCCTTCATTGTACCATGAACTGAGAGCAGGGACAATCTAGTTGCCCAAGCCTGCACTGACCAGTAAGGCAGCCTGTGCCATCAGACTATGGTAATTTATTTAATGTGCAAATTCCTTGGTTTCACAGGTCCCATTTCAAGTGCTCTGTAGCCATAGTAGGGTACAATGCCTATGTAGAAGTTCTATCACAGGAAGTTCCACTAGATGGCCATGGGTGACAATGGATGGAAGAACTGTTCCACTGCCTTGGACCATGTGTCTGAGCCCAGGTCTGACATTTGATATGACAACTGGAGGTTACAGTGAACTTTTTGCATCACAGTATCAACGACGGCCATACATGCTGGGATGGGCTTGGACTGAGAAGGAACTCACGTGGATGCACACACGGTCACCACCATAATCAAATTTATTATTCCAATGACACTAATACAGCTAGAGGTGCTCATGGTGACATTGCACAATATTTTCTGCCTCCTAGCTTCTGTCCAAAGAGAAATGTCTACTGCTTGTTCCTTCCCCCTTTCTGGGGGAAAATCCACTAGGGGCCATTTACCCAAATAAACCTCTTAATGCATTTATTCAAAATTTTTTTAGACGAGTTTCCCTCTGAAATGGAAAAAAAAAGTGTTGGGTTTCCCATCCCGTCTCCCCACCAGCCAAATAAGTCCCTGCGGTTAGGGCATTTCTGTTGCCTCTGAAATCTTGAAATAAATATCGAAAGAAACAGCATCAAGTGTTCATGTTGAGCGATGGCACAGAGTGGCCCTAGAATCTGCTGGGCGCACGGCACTAGGTCTGGACAGTCTCGAGGTGTCATGAGAATGTGAGGGCTTGCTGTTGTGGTCAATCATGGGCTGGCAAGGGGCTGTGCCCGGGTGGCAGGCTGTAGGAAGGGCAGTCTACAATTTGTCCAGGAAGTTGTCCAGGGCAGGGATGCCCTCCTTCAGGCCTTTGCGCTTGCGCGTCTCGGCCACCACCTGGCTAGGGCGGCTGGTGTTGTCGAAGGGGTCTCCAGGAAGGATCTGCCAGTGGTCAAACACACACTGTGGGAAGGCCTGGCCGCCTGTGTTGGACCTCAGGTCAGCGGTGAAGCCTGCAGGGAAGGAAAGGGCTCACTGGGCAGCCCAGACTTGGTGCCTGCCAGCTCCTTGGCCAAGCCTTGGAGGTGGGGACACTTGGGCACACATCAGAGATAAGCGAGTCTAGACAACCCAAGGTGGGGTCAGACATTAAACCCTTAAACCTGCTCCTCACTGAAGCCTTGCTCAAAGACCACTACTTAACTAGAGAGGCAGTGCTGGCCCCCCTGGGGCACCATCTGCTTGTCCTCAGCATGAGCCTGAGCTACATATAGCACAGCTGCTTTGCTGGCCTTGACCTTAAGATTTCACTGAGTTACACACCCGAGGGCCTTCTGTACCCCAAATTCGTCGACTCAGAGAGCCCACAAGTGGGGGCTACCTCCTCCTTCTCAACTATGCTGCCCCCACCTTCTCAAATGGACAGGGAGAGTGCAGCCGTTTGCAGATCACACTATGGCTGCAATCAGGCCCACCCTGGGTCTGTCCTATACCAAGCTGGCTGCAGGCCAGTGGGTGTCTGAGGGCCACCCTGGGCAGGCACTTACCAAAGGACTCATTGACAGGCAGGTAGGCCTTCACGACAAACATGGGGGTGCCGGCCACCTGGGACTCCTCAAAGACGTGGCCCCGCTTCCTGTTCAGGACACCGTAGATACCACCAACCACTTGTTCTGGACACTGTCAGGCAATGAAAGGCTATTAGCAGCTATTGGGCAGGACAGGATGGGGGCAGATGGAGAGCTAGGCCTCCCTACCTGGATCTCCACAAGGTAGATAGGCTCCATAAGCCGGGGCTGAGCAGTCAGCACGCTGGCGTAGAGGCAGCGCCGGGCTGTGGGGATGATCTGGCCACCTCCGCGGTGGATGGCGTCAGCATGCAGCGTTACATCGTGGACATCAAAGCGTACAGCCCGCATGTTCTCCTCACACAGTGCCCCCTGCAGAGGGAGGGGCCAAAAGCACTGTCAAGCTTCCACAGGGACCTCCCAACTCTTGACTTGCTGGGTCCCTCCAGGGTTCCCTTCCCAGAAAAAGGGACCATTGGCCCTACCTCCCTGACATGGACATGGACAGACGCCGCCAAGGTCTTCCCACAGGTGTGACCAGTGGGCATGTGCCAGGACCCCAAGGCTAATGATCCATCACCTGAACAGCTGCGTGGTCTCTCACCTCTTTAGTGGCCCACTGGAAGCCAGCCACCACACTGTCCTTGATCTCATTGAGGTACTGAACACCCTTGGTGATATCGGTGAGGATGTTGGGCCCAGTGCCGTCGGGCCCAAAGCACCAGATCTTGCGGGCCTCAGCCACGTCCCACTCGTACTTCTCAGCCAGGTAGCGGGCCCGCTGCTTGAGCTCCTGGCGGGCGGACACCTCGCCTTTGTCGATGTCCTCAGCCAGGCCATCGGGGAAGGGCCGCGCGCCTTCATGTACAGCCGGTTGTGCTTGTTAGGGGACTTGGACAAGCAGAGCACGTTTGACTCCTCGCTGACTGTCTCTCGGTAGGAGACGACTGGATCAGATTTCTGCAAAAGGAGCATGAGGATCAGGCCTGCCCACAGGAGACAGTGACCGCACAGGAAAGAGGTCTCCTAAGGAGGCTCAGGAAACAGCCTGGCAGTGGGCATGGAGAATGGAAACACAATGATTTGGTGGCACAGAGCCATGCACACCTCATCTCTCCATAAGCACAAGGTGCAATTCTCTAACTGTAGGAGGCTGCCCAGTGCCAACAGGACTGACTATAAAAATCACTTACCTTGTGAAAGTCTACACAGTATTAACTGAAAAAAAGCAACATGCAAAAAGTAGGCATTGGCCTGATCCCATTTTAGCATTTATGCAACATTTTTCACATGGGAGACAACATGGAAAAGCAGCTAATTAGCTACCCAAAAAAAAAAAAAAAAAAAACAACTTGAATAAAAACCTTAGGGGGCTTAACAAGGAGAAAAGCACGTAATAGAGCTCCAAAGAATGTCTAAGAACGTACACAGATCTGAGCTCAGTTCTGTGAAAAAGCAGAAAAAGAAAGCCAGCATGCCCGCAGCAGGGCCTTATGCTGGCTGCTAGTCTGCGCTCTTCACAAGCTTCAGTGTTTAGGTGGGAAAGCAGACTCCTCCCGCTCCAACTTCAAAGCCTCTGAGGATGTGTGAACAATGAAATCACCTTATCTAGCAAATGTGGGAGAAAAGATGGGTCCTCCGAGCCCAGCCTGGACCCAGGCCCTGCCATCTCTACACTGCCCTCCCTTTGAGCTGGGGACAGTAGGCCTCACCTTGATGGGAATGCAGGCGTGGTCCTCCTCCAGGTCCTTCAGGCAGATCTCCAGGTGCAGCTCACCGGCCCCAGCAATGATGTGCTCCCCCGACTCCTCAATGATGCACT